TCCACCAAGCAAATTTTTATTCAAATGTATTTATTTGCGAAGTTCTATCAATTATATGTAGTAATTTTAGCTATAATTTTAGATATTAATTTCTTTTTACTTACAAATCTCCCAGTTACAGTTTTTCTTTGTTTTCAAATTTATAATTTGATAGCACACTAGAAGGTTTTGTGGATTTAGAGAGCAGATATGTTTTTGATTTTTATACTCCCGTTACAGTGAATGTGTAATTCCGCAAATCGCCCAGGTCGGACATCAGCCAGGTCTTCCTTTCGTATTGTGAATTCAGCTGGTATTCATGAAGGCCCAGAGGATACACAAAGTCTCAGTCAGACTCTTTGCTTTTCCTTCTGCTCTGCTCCGGTAATCCTTAAAAGAGAAACGGAAACACTTAATGCAGGGTCAGTCTTCAGCTTCGGGAAAGAAGGCCTCTCTAAATCTGCAGCTGAAGAACGGATTCAGGCGCGGGATTGTTAGGGATTGTGCCAAAGCAGGAATGACTGTAGGTGATCAGACTGAGTTAGAAGTTGACGTTATGGAACAGGTCAACGTTGCAAATCAGAGAATGATCTCAGCAGTCCTTTGTACCTTCTGGAGGCCTTCCAGATGCCGTTTTACCACATTTTAGAATAGCTATATATAAATGAAAATAATAGTTTAAAAAAAGTTGGCTGAAAAATGAAATGTTGGGTTATTTTAGCTAGATAGCTAGCTAACTTTACTATTCTGACAGATTAAACGACATTTCTACATGTACATTTAGATTTCATAGTGTAATCCATGACCATGTGAAACATCGTTCACAACGTTCAAATGAAAAAGCTCATGTTGGTGGAATTCGAAAGGTTCACTTACATAAAAACCGCAACGTTTGAGCCAGGTCTCAGTTTTTCGTATTGTGAAACATCCACAAGCGAAGTCCTTGAAGCCCCAAATATGCAGCGGCCAAAAGATACACTGGTACGATTGAACATAAATATGCTCGGCAGGCAGTTAATCTGTCAACTTCTTGGTGTTATTCATTCTCGGGTTAGTCTGTAGTCAGTAATGTAGTAACGTCTCTGCTGTGACCACGGCCCATAAATTTTCACAGTTTAGAGCTGGCTGTTAATATAGAGCTGTGTAGCAGTAGAGTTGGTAATGGTTTCCATAAGCCAGTGTTGGAATTCAGTAAATCAAAGCCAAGGTAACGGCTAACAGCTAGCAGCCCGTATTGTCTACCCTGTCGAGGAGGTTTCACTCATGAGGGTTGTCTCCAAACCATCTCCGGTTTCATAGCTGGCTTCCCTAAAGACACCGAGGATGACAGGATAATTAGCATGTTGTGTTCAGAAACCTTGTTTTGCTTTGAGCAGAGGTGGTTGCTTCGCTTTTACTGTAAAACAACTTCATCGAATCAACTGTTTTCTGACAGCACTGGAGGTCATAAACAGAACATGGAAGAGCAATAAATCTTGGGACACCAGAGGGTTTTTCTACCCCTGACAGACGTGGCATAGCCAAGTTGGACGTTTCATGCTAAGTGAGCAACTAGGGGCCAAAATCCACAGAAACTCTTGCCAGAGAGCAAAAGAGGGTACCCGGTCTCCAGCCTCACCAGTGAACATTACAACCAGAGGAGGCCACAAACTTGGTGAAAACCCAATGGAGCAGGGCCCTACGCTCAGATTTCCTATGGAAACAGGCCTGTGTTCTACTGCCGTCTCCACTGCAGACATAAAAGCAAACATACTGAAGGGTTATGCAAACATCTTGGTCATATTGAGCTTGTTCGAAATTATGAACACGCCTCGATGGTCGACGTGTGAAATGCAGCACACTGCGGTGTCACTTCTCTTTAATGAAAGGGAAACAGGAGTTTGTTTGGTTTAGAAACCTGACAACCCTCATCCTTCCAAGATTTGTTGACTTTCCATGAATCAACCTGGGTTTTTTTCCTCAGACACCTTTATGGACGTTGTGAAGTCTTGAAGTATGCCTGCACTTCACAGAACATCATATATGTTATGAAGCTCTGGAGCAGTTTCTTGACATGCAGACTACATTTATGGATGATATTAAAACAGCAAGCCATGTGTAATCCTGCAACTCCTGTTAAGGTGCCAACGAAAATGTGCGCACAATAAAAGCGAGCCCAAAACAAAAGAGTTATGTTTAGAGTGACCGTACTTCTGGGGCTCGCTGAAGGGTTAGAGCCATAGTAATTAAGCTGTTAGCCCAGCAATGAGCTGCTTTTTTCTTTGCCTGGACTGGAACCTCTCCTGCAGGAGTGTTAAACTGTGTACATTCTCAGATCAAACCACCCCGCCGACAGCTTCAAAGAGCTGACAGGCCTGAAAATGCCAGTCATGTGGTGAACGGATGAGCAGGGGCTGTAACTGGAGCAGAAGGGCCACAGATTTCCAGCCATCGTTTTCATAACACGTGACTTCAGATGTTTGCCTTCCATTTTGGAAATATCGATAATCTGATAATAAAAAAAATCTGCAGATTTATGTGGAATAATTTTAGGAGTATCATAACTAAATACCATCTAATTACTAATAAAAATAATTTTTTAACTTTAATGTTTACAAAGCAAATCCAATTAGATCTACTTATTTGGTAAACAAAGCATGTATCATATAATATATGCTAAAAGACAGAAAATATAAAACTTTACCAACTGTATTGTAAATAAATGGTGAAATCAATGGTGAAATTTAAAGTCTCCATAATCCGGAAGCTGCGATCAACATTCTTTCCGTAACGTAACAGTTCCTAGAGAAACAGAATATTAAATGAGCAAACAGTCGGCGTGGCTTGTTTCGGATATAGTTGGCGTTTCATTCAGAAAGATGGGAAAAGGGGGTTTGGAAGAGTTACTACAACCTAACAGACTCCTCCTCCTCACTATTCCTGTTTGTTTTCAAAACTGACAGTTGGAGCAGCATTAGCCACGGCTAATACCTCAAACTACTTGGGCTGTTACTTAACTAAGGGCTGTTCACGTTGCGTCTTTTGTACACTTTCACTTTCAAGTCCAAAGAGAAATGAACTATTGTGTTTTTGATTATTATTTTGTGCTGTACTACTTAGTTACAGAGAAGCAATAAATAAGACTTTAAAATATGAGTAGCCATGTGACATACTAAACTAATAGTGTTTTGATGTAAATTAACGAATGCATAATAATCGTTATAACCATGAATATTCCTATAGACTATAATCGTACAACCAAAATCTATAATCGCTGCATCCCTACCTCAGACTTTACATTAGCCCCTTTCACACAGTGATACCGGTAAATATCCGGAAAAATTCCGGAACGACTTTACCGGTATATTCAAAAAAGCGCTGTTCACACAGGCGAGGACGTTACGGAAATTTTCCGGAAAAGAGCATTCACACATCCATTCCAAAATACCGGTAAATTCTGACATCATTCACCACAAATGAGCTTTAAACGGCTGCGCTTGTATTTGTAAACATTTTACTAAATTACAAACTCTGTGGATGATCAATATTGTGAACAACTTTCGCAGGATCACTTTCGCATGTCGAGATGTTCATAATATGTGCGTGTACAGGCGCTCACAGGCTGTTTCACAGGCACACGCAAAGCTTGAAGATAAACAAACAACGGCTTATCATAAGAATCTCATCGATGATTATTTACACAGTTGGCATTAAGAAGAACATATCAACGTGATCTGACTAACTTCTAGCAGCTAAATGTGTCTGGAAAAATATTCAAAGGCTTTTATTCTCATAAACCGCGCAGACGTAAATGCGCCTGACTGTTGTGATTGGCTAAAGCAGACGTCTCACGTCAGCACGTTCTAGACGTGCACGCGCTTATTACGGTAATCTTCCTTCTGCATTCACACAGCGCAGCATTCCGGCAAATTGCCGGTAATGTTACAACTTCTCTTTCCGGAAAATAGCCAGAACGAATTTACCGGTATTTTCAAAAAGGACCGGCAATTTTCCGGAAAGGTCTGTATGTGTGAAAGGGGCTATTGTCAAGTAGTCGTGTCCTACACTGTAAAACCCAAAAAGGTTACTCAAACCATTAAAGGAAACCAATTGCAACAAACTATTTAAGTTCAAAAACTAATCCTAATGAGCACTGTGAACTCAATCTATTTGAGTAAACGAAGCAATTTGAGCACAGTTAAACCCAATAAATGAAGACAAGTCAATCCAACTGAGTACTATAAAACTCAGTAAGTTAAGGGAACTCAATCTGTTTGAGGATGTAGATTGCTAAAAACCATTTGGGTTAAAAAACTAATCTTTATGAGTACTGTAAACTTACTGTACTCCATTTATGTTGAAGTAATGAGGTATTTAATTAAGTAATAATGTGTACATTTTGAGTTAACTACTCATTTCATTTGATAAAGTTGACTGTTGGGTTTTACAGTAACAAAGTATAAATCAGTGGAAATGTTGTAAGTATCAATTTCACCAAACTGACAATTATGTTTTGTGGTCCATAAGGGGTAAAATGTGTTCATAAATTAGATCATGAATCTAAATGACACATTTAGACCACAACTCTGTGAAACTACATCTGTGGTAAAAACATGCTCTACACAACGTCGGTGCGTACATGACTTATCACTGTGCTTTGAAATGTCAACAGTTTAAAAAGCATCTAGTCAGCTTGTTTGTAGCTCGTTAACTTGAATAAGAACACAGCCGGATTAATGACAGAAACATCTGAAGGAAACTCTATCGCCCCCTTGAGTGCTAAGGTTTATTACCAGCCCTGTAATGCAAGAGCGAACGCCTGCAATGCGATGGCTATGTTCTCTTGCGTGTACTTGAGTAAACTGTTTCTGGCCTTAATCTGAAACTGAAATGTCTGTATTTGAAGGCCAAAATTATTTGGTTTAGGTGCTGAAGGATTAACAGTGATTGAATAAATGTGTGGTGGTTCCTTATTTTATAGATCAGAGTCTGGTATTTTGATAAGTAAATATTCAATTCTCCATTTCTCTTTGTCTCTCCAGATGACTCCAGCGCCGGGAGGGAAGGTGCCAGACCAGCTGGTGAAACCGAGTACTCCACTGACCTGACTGGAAAACTGGGTAAGGTGCTAGAGTCCTCTGATCCCCTTTGATCTCCTTCATTCCTGGTATTTATAATTGCTGCCCAGAAAGTCACTGAAAATATGCACCGCAGCTGCCAAGATATTTCATAAGCTGCTTTTCATGAATTGCAACTTTTAGTTTTACATTGCATTACAACTTAAAATAAAAACATGGAAAAGTTCAACTTTGAAAGACTAGACATTGTAAACATGCTTGGCTTTTCTTTTTCATTCCCAGCAGTTTGTAAAATGGTCATGAACCTGTTTGAAGAATATTTATAATAATGAAATATGAAGTGAGAGTTTTTATGAGATGCATGAGATGTTTTTTTTTTTTTTTTTTTGTAGTGCCGCAGCTCAGACTTTTTATTGTAGCATAGTTGCAGTGCTTTTGTCGTGGTGTAGCTGGAGTGATATTTAGTTATATAGTAATACTGATATTTCAAGAGTTCACAGTTAGATATTGCTTGATAATAATAGCAGGTTTGGCGTGCTGTCCCAGGAGAGAACCCTGAACTCGTCTGGTCAATGAGCATGTAAGGGGGTATGAGATCAGGTAGTTCTCGAGAGCTCCCCCTGGAAAAGGAGAAAAAGATGGAGTGGATGGGGGGATTCTTCAAAAAATGAAAATAACCAAGTGTTAGATCACAGTCTCCACGCCAGATAATAATTGAATTAGAGACACTCTTATATCTCATATCAATGTAGAGGAACATTTCATGAAACACCATTAACATAAGACTAAACAATGGAAAAAGTACTAAATGCAAAGCAAGTAATAATCAATATAAAAAAAATAAAGAAAATCAAATCAATAATTGATTAATATAATAAATGATAAACAAATGAATTATACATATGAATCAAACTAAAATTAAAATAAAAAAATAATGGATAATTAAATTTAATACCCAAGATTTATAAATGATTATATAGCAAAAACTACACCATTTCTACACCAGCAAACAATTTTGTGTTCAATAGACGTCTAATAGACATCTACACGTACACAGTTTGGCTAAAAACAAGGCTAAACTTGTTTATTAAAAATCTAATATTAAAATCTAAGAATAGCACAAAACTAGACTAGTCGTCCGATAGACAGATTAGACATTTTATTTCTGTGATGACTAGTCTAGTTTTGGCCTATTTTTAGACGTCTATTAGATTTTCACTGACCTTGTTTTAGCCAAGACGACGATGTTCAGATGTCTATTAGACATCTATTAGACATCTGTTAAGACAAAAATGCTTGCTGGGAAGGCAGTAATGATAGATAGACTATATATAGGGAGTTTATAATGATCCGATTGGTTTACAAATGATTAAAGTTGAGAGATCAACTGCAATCAATTATATCACATGCTCCTCTCGAAATGAGTTAGTGAAAGCTATGGAAATTACAAATGTAATACAGGAAATAGGTTAGAACCATTGTTATTGTTTACATTCCTCAAAAGGGTCTAAAGCTGGTATTTTGTAGCATAGCAGTAATAATATTTTGTTGTATATTAGTTGATTTGAATAATCACATTTGATTTAAACTGGCTTTCACCTCACAGTAGGTTGTAGTGTAATGGCACTTTTTGTAGCATATAAGCATTGACATTTTGTTGTTGCATAACGAAACTTGCCAAGGGTTCAACTCTAAGGAATTTTTCTACTAGCCTGATTATGTGACTATTTCGCAGGTACATATTTAAATTATTTGTCAACAATAATGTCTTGAATCTAGAAATTAAATTTAAAAAATTTTAATAAATGTATTATGAGCAAAATTCAAAGTGTTATGTAAACAAAAAGAGCAGTATAGAAAAAATGTGCATGTATTTTATTGCCAAACAAAAAGTGTCTGACTTGCCAATCTGAGGAAAAACTGCAAAACATCCCTTTTTTTTTGGTCATATTGAAAATGTCTGCTTCAAGACATTACAAACACCATTTTTTTAGTCTCATAATTTGATGTTATTGTCTCTTCGCTGTACTGGATGTTACCAGGTTACGGAACATACTCACAACATCCAATCAGATATGAGGAATCGAAAAACTATATGGTGTTTACGACTTCACAGAGAAATAGTAGCAAGCAAATTAAACTTTAGTGACAAGGCAGCACTTGCCCAACCGGGCCAGTAACGATCCTGTCTACTGTCCCGAGCATCTCGCACGCTGGCCCCAGGCCATCGGGCAGTCTTTATTGTTGAGCCTCGCTTGCGGTTCTGTTGTAGCGGAGTATTAGTGATTTAGCATAGCCGAGCTTGCTGTTTTATTATAAATGACTAGCAATGTGTGTAGCATATGCGGTTTTGTTGTAGCATAACAATCCAAGTCAATCCAGGTTTGATCTGTATATCCTTATGGAAAAACATTATCAATTGAATACCTTACAAAGTGTTTGGACAGCACTTATATGCTTCTGTGTTTCCACATGTGGTTGAATCTTCCCAGATAGGCTACTGACAGGTAGTCGTGTGGACTGCGATTGGACATTAACAGTGATGGTGTAGCAGTGAAATTCTGATGAAGCACAGTGACACATTGTTTTGTTGTAACGTAGTTTTGCTGTAATATTGTAGCATCAAGTTTGCTGTTTTATTTTAGCATATTGGAGCAACATCCCTGCTAAAAAATCCAGCTTAAACCAGCCTAGGCTGGTTTAAGCTGGATTTTTCAGCAGGGATGGCAGTGACGAGTCTTAGAAACACTTATTAGCATATAAGCATTTGGTTTAGCATAGCAATACTTGCTTTTTTGTGGCTTATCTATTTTATTTTTCACAAAAGGGTGGGCATTTTAACCTAAATGTCGACTTTTATTCTCAATCACTTACATAGATTTTTAGTCAGATTTAAAGAGCATTATGTTGCTTGATACTGCAAACTTTTGTTTATTTTTTTAGCATAAAAACATTTTGTAGCTTATTAATGTTGAAATTTGGTGTAGTATACTGTTGCAGCACCTGCCATTTTGTTGTAGAGTAGGTGGATTTGCTGATTTGTTGTTGCATAGTAATGGTACAGTAACATTTCACTGTAGCATAACTGCAGTGCTGTTTTGTAGATTGGGGTGAGAATTAACTTAAGAGCCTTCCAGTCTTTCACAACATGACAACTGTACATGCTGTTTGCTAGAAGAGCGAAGGTGATCCAGGTTTGATCTGTATATCCTTATGGAAAAACATGTGGCAACTGAATACCTCACAATGTGTTTGGACAGCACGTACCATCCGTCATTCACATGTGGCTGAATCTTCCCAGATACTGACAGGTAGCCGTGTGGTCTGGGATTGGACAGTCCCCATTCCATTTCCTGTGTCCCGATGCTCCCTGGAGTCACAAACTCCTGCCTCTGGAGCCCAGTGTTTGCTTTGGTAATTGCATTTGACAAGCCAAAGAGCAGGCTATTTATGTGAAGCGTGAGGGGGGAAGCATTCCATTCCCTCAGACGACTGCCATCTGATTTGATATCACTAAACTCTGCGGTGTTCAACGAGGGCCTGACCTGCTTGTTTTTGTACTGTGGGGTTGTAGTAGTTGCGATGGCTGCTGGTGGGAGATGCTTAGTTCACTGTTGTATTTGCCTTTACTGTGTTTGTTCAGAGTCTGCTGCGAGCGCTAACAGTCAGCAGGGAGCTATAGAGTCAAACTACAGACGAGCTGCTGTTTGCTTTGTCTGATTGCATTCATGGTGTGGTGCTTTGCTCAGTAAATTTGCCCACACAAGAACTGCATGTCCACTCTCTTATGCTTTATTTTCTTTGTAATCTTAGCAGGGTTGTGTAAATTCTGTTGATGAAGCAGCCTTCTTTTTTTATTTAGGGAGTTAATTGTAAAAAGCAGTAAGCATGGTATTTAAATGTGCATTCAAAAAAAATTTACTAAATGAGTTGGCTATGGAAATTGCTATATAGTCGAGATGCAACTATTAGGCTATTTTATATATATATATATATATATAAATTAGACTTAATTTAAAAGTTTATATAAATATTTATGGGTGGCACAGTTAGCACTGTCCCCTTATAGAAAGAAGGCTGCTGGTTCCAGTCTTGGCTGGATCTGTTGGAGTTTTTATGTTCTCCCTGTGTTCGCGTGGGTTTCCTCAGATTTTTCCATTTCCCTCACAATGGAGAGACATGCACTAAAGGTGAATGGACTGTTTGACCGTAGTGTATTTGTGTGAATGTAAAAGTCTACGATGTTTCCCAGTACTGGGTTGCAGCTGAAAGGGCATTTGCTGTGAGAAAACAAATGCTGGATAAGTTGGCGGTTAATTCCACTTTGGCGAACACTGATGAATAAGGGGACTAAACTGAAGGAAAATAAATTAATAAATATGTCAACATATACATTAATTCATTCATTTTCTTTTCAGCTTAGTCTCTTTATTAATCCAGGGTCACCACAGTGGAATGAACCGTCAATTTATCTAGCATTTGTTTTACGCAATTAAATGTAATCGAATATAAAGAATTATTGGATAGAGTTATTATCAGTCATTAAATATAAAGGGTTGAGGAGTTCAGATGCAAAACCTCTAAGTCTGAAATTGTCCTCAAAAATTAGCATTTTTAATCAGGTTTCTGTGTGAGGATTCAGTAATATTACTTTTATGGCAAAGAATAAGTCCTTTTCTTGGTCTTTAAAGTGAAATATCTCACCATAAACAAAAGGAGGCTTAGAAAAATGTTCATTTTTAAAGGAAATTTCAGACAGCACTTAGAGGTTTTTGCATCTGAACTCTTCAGTTATGAATTATTAGCTTTCAAATAGGAAGGGTTTAAATTCCTGTATCAGTGCTTCCTTAAAATCTATTTAATAAACAAAAATATTTTGAAGACACAAAACATTGAGGACAATTATTTTTGAAAACCATGTCTTTATGCAAAACTGTACATCTTTTTTATGCTAAGCAAATTGTGAAATTGGTTTGCATTTTATTTTTATTTTTTTGTTCATTTATTCTAAATGAATATAGTTTTTAGTATTTCTATACGTTTTTTCAACCAAAGCACAAGACATTCGGTGAAGCATATACTACAATACTACATGAACAGTTGTAATTCATAAAGATTACTATTAAAGATATTAATAATTATTGATAGCTTTATACAGTGCTATGCATGTATGAGTGGACCCCACAGATGTCTCATTTAAATCAATATTTTGTATAGGAGGCTTTACAGTAAAATATTTTTGCTTATACGTTAGATTTGTCAGTATCAAAGCCAAAACTGGAACTAATCCAACAAAAATAATCCAAACATTATTATATCTAAATTAATATGTTGGGAAAAACTATTGAATAAAAGTTTCATAAATAGGAAAAAAAAAAACTTTTATTTTTTTTATTTTTTTTTTGCAATAACTAGTTTGAAGGACCATGAAACCCCCCTCTTTCGTTTTGTTGAAGTCTACCTCAGAATTAAAGAAAAAAACAAAAATGCTATATGATGGGCATGGAGTGCTACAAGCAGAGGGAAGAGTAGGCCCGGCCGGCAGAGAAGGGGAGAAAGAGGGGAGTCAACAACTGTTGAACAACTGACACAAACTGTGAGGAGACGCATGATTTTATAGTTTACAAAGTTAAAATGCAAAGAAATAAACAGTAATTTAATGTCCTGCTGCATGTCGTCACCTCAATTATAAGGTTCTGACATTTGAGTTATTGACATTCTTATTAAATGACAACTTCTTTACATTGTGAGATGTTTTATATAAGCTGTTTACATTTTAAGACTTCTTATTTAAAAAAGAAAAATGTCACACACATACTACTGTTTGCTATATGTAATGCAAAAACTTTGAAGCTCCATATCTCAAAGTCATTCAGAACGCAGATAGAACCTTGTAATTCCAAGGTGACGATGTGTTATTCATGTTTTCATATAAACATAACCACAATTTATATCATTATAAAGATAATCATGTTTATATAAACACTATAAATGAGGACTCCTCCTGAATCCCCGGGTCGGAATACAGACACAGTGGATAGCAGTGCAGCAGGTCTCTTGCCCTGTCTATTTCAACCATTAGCCCTGCTGGTAATATGGAGGATTTTAAACATAGGCGAACAGCAGCACGGATATAGGCGATGTGTCTGAATGACTCAATTGATAAAAGACAAAGTCTGCCGTTCTCCAATTCTTATACAGCTTTCCTGACAGAAAATGCTTGCTGAACACAAACAGCTTTGCTGCATGGGCCCTGACAGGATCACAGGGAAAAACACGCAACACACCCCGTGGATCATGGAAACAAACACATATGACCTTTCATGAATGGCTAAATACTGCGTGCCGTATGATGACCCAGTCATTGGGTCTCACAGCTTGGTAGGTCTCCATTGCCTTCAGAAAGCACGTGCTCTCATGAGAAGCAGGCTCTTCTCATGGGATAAGAAAATTCAGCTATTAATAATAATGAGAAACCGACACATCATCAATCCACTAGCAGATTTGCGCTACGTTGCCGATTTTGATCTCGCCACCAAAATTATTTTAAACCCGGGAAATTAAATTAGCTGACAAAAAAAATAAAAATAAATAGAAAAAATATCCAGTTTTCCCCACAATTTAAGCTGACAGGTGCTAACATTGTCTTAACTGATGCTCAACACATACAAATCTGTTAAAACCTCAAAAAAAGGAGTCCAGGGTATCTTAAACCTTTAAATTTCAATATATATTTTCAAGAGGAGGTGTGCTTATTTATACTGAGAAGTGTATAAAACAAAAAGGATTTTATTAGAAATCCTTTTTCAGTTTAGAGTGAAATATGAACAGACATGCTTTTGACAAGCATAGAAGATTTAACAACTAGACATCTCACTAAAGCAGGCGGTAAACCTGAGAAATCTGATAGAAACCTGTTCCATTCAGGTTTCAAGTTGCCGTCTAAACATTCTCACCTTTTTTTCCCTCTTACTTTGTAGTGCGGCCTCGCTTCACTCAGCCAGCCAAAATGAGAAAGCGTGTGATTGCCCGCCCAGTGGGCAGCTCCGTGAGGCTCAAGTGCACAGCCAGCGGAAACCCCAGACCGGACATCGTCTGGCTGAAGGACAGCAGGCCTCTTACACCCGAAGAAGTGGGCGAGGGACGGAAGAAGAAATGGACTCTCAGCCTGAAGAACCTGACGCCCGAACACAGCGGCAAATACACATGTCATGTGTCCAACCGCGCAGGAGAGATCAACGCTACCTATAAAGTGGAAGTCATCCGTGAGTCACACACATCGGCTCTTTCATGTTCTGCTGGAATGCAGTGCAGTTTTTGATGAATCACTGATATAGCGTAGATTGAACATGCAGCAACAGTTTAAGAGTATTGCTCATTAGCTGGATGCTGTTAAAAGAGGTTTAACAGCTGTATGGCAGGCTGACAAAGATTTGTGTTTGGAAGAATTGACTCAGTCACTCATCGCTAACAAACAACATTAGCATTTTATTCGCAGCACTAATGCACTAAAGCACCAAAAGAGATGTCAGTCGATTACTAATCAATGAACTAAGGGATACTGTGCATAGATACACAGCTATGGAAGTCAGCATGAACTAGAAGTTGTTGAGACTTATTTCAGTATGTTGATGTACTGTACTTCCATCTGAAACAAACTATAATGGGGGGCGGGGTTTCCTTTTGTGAATCTTTTCCTCAGAGCAAACTAATGGTAAGATGGGTGTGGTTAAGAAAACTGTGGCTGAAGCTGTTAAACCGGCGTCAACATAAAGACCACCACTCTAAATGCTGAAGCTAATTGTCGGTTGATTGAAGATTATCAAACAGATTTTTTCCATAGTTCACATTAAGAATAACAATGTGAGCTAGCAAAATAAACAAAAAAGTTACAATAAAAATTGTAACTTTGATTTGACAAGTGCTTTAAATTCTTAGTTCTCTGAATGTGCTAGATGTATTAGCTATAGGTATAAATATAGAGTAATTCTTCAATATTTATTCAGTCTGTAAAAGCACAAATATTGTCTTTCAGAATATGCCAGAACAAGGTTCCACTAAAGTATTGCTTTCTTAACTCTACTGAAGTTAAAATATTGCTATTGTTTGTTATCTATGAACTAGATTGTCAACAGATGTTGGGGTGGGGGGGTGGAACGTATAACCCAGTAAAAAGCAACATAAAATAGTTCAAATATTGGTCCATAATCTGGCCTCACAAATACTAAACAACTGAAAACTAAAATCCAAACTGGACTCCAAGCGCTTTAAAGAAGAGTTATTAGTTGTCAAGGTCATGTAACCTTTGAGTGGATAGTTTGATTTTGTACAGACTGAAGAGATAATACACCAAAAAATTTGGTTCTTAACTCTTATTTCTGTTAAACACAAAATAAGAATTTAATTGTTTCTACTTTATTGACATCTCATCAGACAATGCTTCTCCATCATTGACAAGTTTTTAGGCCGTCTGTGTTTTATGTGTATTACGATAAGTGAAAGGTCCTGAATGAGTTACAGTCCCGGTTACAAAATACAAAGACTCTGAATCTAATTGCTCATGTTTCAATTATCTTAAATCACATAAAACAAAAGTCAGTGTGTGAGAGACACCTAAACAGACACACAATTTACTGTAACTCCTCTTAAATATACGCATATGTCCTTGTATATTCAAATGTAGCAATACCAGTCAATGTTAGTCCCCATGAGGAAAATGGGGATGACATATGTGAAATGCAGATTGTTTACTGTGAGGGCTAGGGGTAAGGTTTGGCAAAGGGGAATATGATATACCAACAAGATCTCACAGCAATTTGTAACTTTTTGATTCAGTGGTTAATTCATATGAATTTGTAGAATCTCATTTACACAATTTAGTACAATTTAATTTTAATTCAGTATATGAAAAATGTTTTAATTTTGGATTTGTTTCTTACATTAATATTTAGTATATATACTGCAAATTAAAATCTCGCCAGTGTTTCCTGATATTTAAGGTATTAAAATGCACGAAAAGAGTCTTAAAGTTTTAAAAGGTATTGAACTGCACTCTCTGATTCCTGTATATACTCTGTAACATATATTTATAGCAGAAAATATTCTAAAAGAATCAAATTTAGTTAAAAAAAAAAAAAAGCATTGGCAGGGGAAGTGTTAAAGAATGTTGAAAACCCGTAGCTATTGACATTCATTGTAGGAAACAATACTATCAACATTTTTCAAACTATTTTTGTAATAAATTTAAAACCCACTCATAAAGGGAAGAGGGAACTGGCGAATAGGCATGGGATGACAACAGGTTTTAAGGTTTACCACTGTTTGGAAACAGCAAAAAAAAATCTGCTATACCGTTCCTAAGGTATACGTAAAGGTTTTTTTTAAGTGTTTATTTTTGTGTGTTGTAATGAAATCTGTGTTTTAGAAACTGACGAAGACAGCAGTAGTTAGTGATTGAAAAAAGTTGTTGTTTTTTTTACAAAGACATTTAAAAAGAACTTAGAGCAGTGATGTCTTTATCCAAGGTAATCATACCATCAGGAACTTATACTGGCCCATGCCTACTGGCAAACGTCTGAACACCTATAATAAATAAACAGAAAACAAACACTTGCTCCACTTCCAATGCAGTCAGTCACTCCTCCTCGTGACAATCTTATTTTGTGTTTAACAGAAAAAAAAAAAGAAACGGAACATGTTTGCCTCAAGTGGAGGCTGAGTAAATGAAAACAGAATTTTCATTTTTGGGTGAACTACCATTTAACATTTAGTCATAAATCCAAGAGAAATCCAATAAAAGAAAGATCCTCCAGTTCATAAGCAGAAGGATCCTCCAGTTCATAAGCAGCTTCATATTAAATCCTGGCTGCATCTATTTAATTTACAACCACATCCGAACAGGGGAAACTTCGTTAATCTCACTCTCGCTGCAGTCATATCTGACATTTTTTCTTCTTTCTAAAAATACCCTAAAACTATTTCCAGGACAGAAAACTCTGAGCATTATAAACACGTAATTGTGTTAAATGCTGATTAGAAAATAAAATCTTCTTTATTTCATTATAGAGCGCACAAATTCCAAGCCCATCCTGACGGGCACTCATCCAGTGAACACTACAGTGGACTACGGTGGCACCACGTCCTTCCAGTGCAAAGTACGCAGTGATGTCAAGCCGGTCATCCAGTGGTTAAAGAGGGTGGAACCGGGCGGCGAGGGCAAGTACAACTCTACGATTGAGGTGGGAGACCATCACTTCGTTGTGTTGCCCACGGGTGACGTGTGGTCACGACCTGACGGCTCTTATTTGAACAAACTGCTGATCACTCGAGCCAAGGAGGAGGACGCCGGCATGTACATCTGCCTGGGGGCAAATACCATGGGCTACAGCTTCCGCAGCGCCTTTCTCACTGTGCTGCCTGGTCAGTGGCCCTCTCTCAGATGCATTTCACACTTTTAAGCTAGTTTGACTGCATATTAGTCTAGGGAATTTGCACCATTGATTTTATTGTACACTACTCTTTAAAAAAGTATTATTCGTGAGCATTATAAAATAATAATTATCATTATCATCATCAGTGCTGAAATAGTTTTTGTGGAAATATACAACTTAGTAATAAATAAAAGTTTTGTTAGTCTATTTTATATTTATATATTTAATTTATATGTAAAATATATATTTTTATAAATATTTAGTAATTATACATGGACACAAACACACACACACACACACACACACACACACACACACACACACACACACACACACACACACATACATATACAAAAAAATATATATATTTTTTATGTATACATACATATATATATATAAATTATATATATATATATAAATTATATATATAAATATATATATATATATATATATATATATATATATATATATATATAGAGAGAGAGAGAGAGAGAGATTTTTTTTTATGTATACATGTATGTATATATGTACAATCAGTATTATACATTAACACTCATATATATATATTTTGCTAGTATGCTAGTAGTTTGAAATCTACAAAGAAATTCCAAGCAGCATATTGAACCAAACAAGAAATTGTAATAATATAAAACATATTCTGAAATCTTTTTTATTTTTAAGGATTTTTCATTTAAATAAAAAAACTACTAATATTTATTTTACATTTTAGTAAACCATTTAGCACCTTTGCAAAATAAAAGTACAATAATTAAAAAAAAAACTACAACAAAGAAATAAAAACTTTTACATAATAAATTTGCACGCAATAAAAATGTAACAGACATGTTAGGACTGGGACAACAAAGTATTAATTGTTAAAATCACTAAATTTACCCTAAAAAAGGGGGGGCATTTGTAACAATATTAATATCAGTATCACATTGTTGACACTGGCCATCCATTAATAGATTATTTTATTGTTTGTAGATATTATTATTATTATTATTATTATTATTATTATTATTATTATTATTAAAAACTGTTCTACATTATTTAATTCCTGAAGAAAAATAAATCACATTATGTGAACTTATGTTAAATGTTTACTTTCTATTTAAAATCTACATTCCTGTTATCCAAAATGCAAACGATTGTTATCCATAATGCAATTGTTACGCTTGACTAACCTTCACATACCAATGCAGTTCACTCTCCTACAAGGCTAAATAAAGAGTGAAATGAATAAGTGTTGACCTTGGCAGTTTTGTTAATGTGATCATAAAGAATATGGCTACATAATAGGGCTGTGCGATTAATCGAATCGCAATTGCTATTTGAAACATTGTGAATAGCTAAACATCACAAGAGGCTGCGATATGAAATATATATGTCTTATCTCATTTTCGCTGCCCGTAGCAAATGAGTCATGCCGTTCGTTTGTGACAGTTTTAGTAGCCAATTGAGTGAGCACACTTTCGTTCTGCCCAGTCAGAATTGCACAACCAAACTATGCAGAATGCCCACAATAAAACAAACAGTAAAGAGGAGACAAATGGGATGATGGCGTCTGCCACTTCAGAAGCATTCATAGATTAATTCATATCAAAGAAAAACAGCACGTTGGTAATATGAGAATATTTTAGTTTCAAAGTAAAAAAAAAAAAAACAGGTAATTTATAAGATCTGTCGCAGAATTGTTGCCACAGCAAGAGAAAATAGAACAACAAGCACCTATAAAAGTACCACAGGCGGCTATGTGAGGAATGTCTTGCTAAAAAGTCAACTAAAAGTATTGCCAGTGACACTAAATCTAGTAGCTAGCAACAGCAAAGTACAGTTTCAGACTTGATTGCAGCTGTTACAACAAAAAATGAAAAAGCATCAGAAAAGCCATAACACTAAATAAAACAATTTGTGTTTAATTTCTGAATAAACAAATTTGAATAACATTTGGAGTTGGTTAATATCTTTTCAGTTCCTTTTTTAACTAACACTGACTGCAATACAGAATATTGAGCTGAAGCTTGACTACAAAATTAAATTGTAAAAGACTTAAATAGCTCTATTATGCAATACTAAAGTGCTTTAAACTCTTCAAATGCTCACACAGTCACAGGCCCTAAAAACTCATGCAGGTGAGAAACTTTCACTCTATTACGGTTCAATTCTGCACTCTCATGTGTTTTGCAACACAAAAACATTGCATGTCTTGCGATGTGACAATTGCGGATGCACACATCGAGATATTGATGCTCAGTTGATATATTGTGCAGCCATAATATAAAACTGTGACTGTTTAGGTTCTAATGGAAGTTTTTTCAACAGGGTGTCCGCAGGGTCTTAAAGTATTATAAGTTGATAATTATAATAAAAAAGCCCTTAAAAAGGTATTAAAAAGTCTTAATTAAATTTTTTAAGTTTGTTCAAGCGTTGTCCAAAGTGTTTGACTCCAAAAAGCATAAATATATTTATTTTCCTCCTAATATTGACAACGACATGCTTGATCCACGCGATTGGTTCGAACTGGGGCACGTTTAGCAAAGCTCCTCTTTCTGGGTAATGTCTTGTAATTCGCGTCAAACATCGCTCCACATGTAGTGAAACCATAGAGCAAAACAGACCAAAAATAGGAAAAATGTAAGTTTGTGTACTCATGGTTAGAGAAAGATGAGTTTAAACAGTGGCTGAAGCCTGTTGCTGAAAACAACCATGTAATTTATTAGTTCAAGCTTTGTTTCTTCCGAGCTTATCTGACTTCTGTTGCATGGTTGAGCTGTATTGATTTATTTAACTACAACTGTTTATTAACAACTGTTTATTAAGTTAAAGGCTTGATACTGATTAGAACTTGAAATGGCGATGAGGTCGTAAAATAATCTGAGAAGGACTTTAAATAGTCTTAAAAAGTTATTGAAATAATCTTTAGGATTCCTTCATATACCTTGTTCAGGTCTAAACATGTCTTCTGACACTCATCCTCATTAAAAATATGAAACTGATAACCATAACTCGAAAGTTTTTTTGGTCTTAACAATTTTCACATTCTCTCCCTCTCTCTTCATCCAGACCCAAAGCCACCGTTCTCCCCGATCCCATCAGTTCTGCCCCCCAGCCTCCCCTGGCCTGTCATCATCGGCATCCCCGCAGGAATAGTCTTCATTCTCGGCACTGTCCTGCTCTGGTTCTGCCAGTCCAGAAAGCACTGCTCCTCAGGAGCCATAATCTCAGCCCAAACGTTACCCAATGGCCACCGGCAGCCACCCAGAGACCGACCGGCCGATAAAGACTGCATCGCCTCAGTCGCCTACGAGGAGTATCTGGCCCAACAGCAGCAACAGCAGCTCCTGCTGGCTCAATCGGCTCCTAAAGTCTACCCAAAGATCTACTCAGACATTCACACGCACACACACTCGCACGTGGACGGCAAAATTCACCAGCACCAGCACATCCACTACCAGTGTTAGCACGGATTGAGGCCTTCTAGTTCATCACACACTTTTCTGCAGTCGGCCAAACAGACATTTCAGCTCAAAAGACACTTTTAACCAATCCCTCGCTCTCAATACTGCCAAGACATTATGAACAAACGAGGGCAAGGCTAACAAACAAATGATATTTGAGTCTGTTTGGAAACGGAGAAACGTTTCACTTGCTGACACTCTGAATGGAACAAAAGACAAATCAGCCCATTGACTAATCTCGTGGACGGGGCCAAAAGGACTTTTTCGATTAGCACCAAATCTCAGTGAAACGTCGGTTTTGCATGCATATGAAAATGGTTTGCAGATATATTGAGTTATGGTTATAGTTACAGAGCGACCGAATGCATGATGGAGCGTATGTTCGTGTTGATTTCGCAGGTATGTTCTTACCTAGTGTACCTTTCGTAACTAAAGATAAAGTTATATCGTAACTAAAGATACGATAAGATTTTGGCATTGCATCGTACGTTCTGGCAAGTGCTTCCTTGTGTTTCTCATTAATGTTTTATTTTCAGGGCCTGCTCTGAATAACCTGCGGTACCGCAATCCCATAGTTCCTCTATGGCTTTGTTTAGTGTGTGTTTGTTTGGGAGGGGAGATGTATTTTCATAAGCTTGACCACTATAATGAAGACTGTGTAAAATGCCTTTGACTGCTCATGTAATGGCTCCCCTTTAATATTTACAGAAGTGAGTCAGAGTTTCGAAAACAAACCTTCAAATGAAACTCGGATGTATTGTGCATTGTTTGCGCATCGTAAAGGGTCAATGCTAAGAGGACTGCGGGAGTACAGGAATGCACTTAACCCAGACATCTGCTAGCGTGAACTCTTGTTGTTTTTAAGTCAGCCAAAAGAGGAGACCTGGTCTAAAACAGTTAATTTATTCGTGAGCAATGTTTTGATGCTTTGAATCGGGCATTATCTAGATGTTTTAAACCAAATATGAGTATACATAGCATCGTCTTCCTTTAGCTGCAGTGTAAGCTATGTAGCATATATCAAGTGTTAAATATTTATATGTGATGTTGGAAAAGAAATAACACAACGGTCGTTAATTAGTTATCTCGATATGGACAATCTTGTACAGTTTGGCCTGTTTTTATGTTTTAAAATATATGTTTGTCACATTGAAACATTAAAATCATTTTAGCATTATCATAAAATGATAAAGCTCTTGTTCACCAGGTATGAAAATGTGTCGTTTTCTGTGAATGTCGTGTTGTTACAAATTTGCTATTGTTTGTTATGAATACCATCAGCTTGAATTGTTTACCCTCCACTTAGACTCGCAAATTATTATTATTAAAAATGTAAAAACAGCTTACGACAAATCTATTCCTACTGTATATTTCTGTTAACTATCTTCAGTTAAACTACTAAAAGGTACAATATGTATGCTATTGTTTGAGCTAATTTCTATAGATTGTTTTAAATCAAATTGTAATATGAGAAAAGGTAAACAAAAAAAGATTTTACAATAAACAAATGGAATGAGTTCAATCTAGAATTGTATTTTTAGAATGAACACCCTATTTAAAAAAATAATAATAATAATTTAATAATAAAAATAATGTATATTATATTCTTTTTATTTTATTTTTTAATGTTCCAATCACTAAGGGAATTACAAACTTTGATTAATATCAGATACTAAAGCTGCGGTCACACTGCACTTTTCTCCCCATAGACTTTAGACTTAAATACATACGCATGCGAATGCGCAGGGTTGTGCCGCAAGTTCACTGCTCTGGAAAGTTCAAGCTTGGTGAACCCTGACCTGCAAATCGCATTACATGATTTCGTGAGATCAATCGAAGATCAAAACATCACCTCTCTGGACAGAAATTTTAAACATGGACCAATCGCTTCCTTTTTAAAATGTCCAATCATCTTGTTTAATCCTGCCCCTTTTCACAGCAATGTACGACAGAATTTCGGAAGCTCAAACTCTAGTGTGACCGTTTTTTTCACAATAATCTGATATATATTTAGAAGACTGACTCGCATCATTTGCAGTACTTAATTGGGGTGAGTGGGTGGAGCTAAAGATCTAAACGTCTATATCAGGGGTGTCCAAACTCCCCAGAGTTTATCTCCTACTTGCTTCAACACACCTGCCAGGACGTTTCTAGTAAGAGCTTGATTAGCTGGTTCAGGTGGGTTGGAGCCAAACTCTCCAGGACACCGGCCCTCCAGTACCGAGTTTGAACATCCCTGGTCTATGTCAACAAACACAACTGGCCCACTATACACTTTGCTCTTATCCACTATGTACTTATGCACTTATGTCATCCCAAATGGAACACTAAGGCTGGATCTGAAATCGCTTACTGCTTAGTAGGTACTGCATTTGAATTCAAATGTACTACTGGACCATTTGAAAATCACATTCTATATAGTATGAATGTGAGTATTATGAACAGAACTCACAATTACTACATCCGCCATTTTGTCATGATCATGTCTCTCAAGTCAGTTGTGTCGCTTCACAATTCTCTCACGGGGCATTATGGGTGCATTTGATGCGCACTTCAGAATCTCGCTGGAAGTAGTAAATAATTCAGGTACTTCTCGCATTCTGTTTTTCTTAAGACATGCTATTCGGCTCACATATTGTCTTAAGCATACTATACAGTATGGAAGTATGCGATTTCGGGCACAGCCAGAACGTTTTTTTTACTAAGTGGAAATTCAAAGTTTCCCAAATTACATTTGTCGGTTGCCAAATTAGTAAAACAAAATGTCCGATAATCAAAAATAACTGTCAAATAACTACCAAACTATATATACTATATAGTATAACTGCATTCACCATAAGGAGGCGATGTAATCACTCTTGTAGGAGAAATTGGCTTTTACAATCTAAAATAAATAGTAATCCAACACGAGTTCACCTTTTCTACATGGGCAAAGCATGATGTGAAGTGTCCAACATTCCACATTTCTTTTTTATTGAATAAATGCAACATCAGAGTAATTAAAGTGCACTTATTCTTTCATATAGAGTTTCCAGTGTGAAAGCACTACTTACACTATTTATTCTACAAATGGTGAAAAATAGTGCATAAGTATGCGATTTGGGACGCACCTACAGATTCAACCATTAAACAACCTCAGAACTCACAAAAGCTGTTAAAAGGTTAATCAGTTATTTGTTGAATAATTTTCCTATGAAGAAAATGCAATCTAACTGCTCTACTATTTTAGGTTAAAAAAAACTGTTGTGTTGCTAAAATAATTTGTAGAAACTATGCTTCAGTTTAAGCATTACCTTAACTAGAAATGTCAAAAGAACCAATTTATTTGCAGTAGAAATCTTTTGTATACAGTACGTGAAATTAAATCAGTTTACTAGGTTCTTGCTAAATAAAAATCATTTTTAGTAAAGAAGTACATAAATCTTTTAATCAATCCCCAACTCCCCGGATGAAACCACTATGAAAAATGCAGAGATTGTTTTTATCAAAAATTTCCTGATTTTGGATCAAATACAAACAAACCCGGGTCTCAGGTAGAAAAAAGAAAAGTTAAAATTGAACCCAAAAGTTTAGTTTGGTTTATTCGTATTGTACCCAAATTTGGATTAAAGCATCTCAATATTTGTAAGATTGTACAAACTATCAACCCTAATGAATATTATGAAATGATTATGATGAATTCATTTTCCTTCGGCTTAGTTCCTTATTTATCAGGGGTTCATTCAGCGGAATGAACCAGCAACTATTCCGGCATATGTTTTATGCAGCGGATGCCCTTCCAGCTGCAACTCAGTACTGGGAAACACATATGCACTCACATTTGCACACACACATACACTACGGCCAATTTAGTTTATTCAATTCACCTATAGCGCAAACTCCACACAGAAATGCCAACTGACCCAGCTGGGACTCGGCAAGACAACATTCCTAACTACCAAGCCACCAAGGCACCTATAACGAAATACAAAATTTCAGTTTTTTTTTTTTTTTTTTTTTTTATCAGGATACAACATTTCTGGAATGTCCCACATCAGGGAGTTGAGATTGTTTAAATACTGTACATTACATATCAAAATGTAAAGATCTGGTCAACACAAATTGCATTATGTATAAGTTCAGGAATGTTCTGGATCTGAAAGCTGAGTTTTGTGTTATTTACAGTGTTGGGTGTAATGAGTTGCAAAGTAACTAGTTACTGTAATTAAATTACTTTTCCACTGAAAAATTACTTTTTATTTTTAGGTAATTTAATTACACTTACTGGACAAAGTTTTATATGCATCAGAGAAGCAGAGTAATATATGTTTTGCAGAATAATATTTTTTTTTTTAAATGTTTAGCATTTATCAAGACAACTGCATATACTTACAGTAAGAATTGAGAAGTTGACAGTCTATGCTTAATAGTGAGCAAAAATGTATATTTTGTGTAATTCAGATATTAAAGCATATTACTCAATTTCTCAAGTTTTTATTTGTCTGACAACTTGCATGCTTAAGATAACAATCAAATAAAATTTAACAATGACATTTTTATTTATGCCAATATATGGTAGTGAAATATAATCACAGCTTTGCAAAGTTTCAAGTTTTTAACATATATTCTTAACATTTTATTTGTTTTTAAGTAAAACTAATAGGTCATGTTTGAATAAAATTTCTTAAAATTAAGAGTTTGATTTGCATATGCACAAGAATTAGTGGATTATTATTCATTCAAGTAATTTAACTACTTATTAGAAATAATTACTTATTAATTACTTAAAGTAAAAGTAATTAAATTATAAATTTAAATACAATTGTAGTTATGCAATTAGTAACTAATGACTTTCTTTGAAGTTACTTAACCAACACCAGTTATTTATTGGTACATTGTTCCTAATTTTCTACTTCAAATGTGGATTACTGTAGTCTTCTAATGTAAAGATGTCAACACAAATGGTTTTAAGTTCATGAAGGTCACAAATCAGGAAGCTGCAATAACAGCTTTGAAAAGTCTCCCGCTGCTTCTCATCCGCTTCATTCTGCTCTGCAGTTCTTCATGTAGTGACGAGTGAACGTCTTCATTGAGACAGAAAGCGTGAGTGTCTACAAGGCCAACACCTGTGAATACCTGTGAATACCTGACTTCTTTCAAAGAACCAACCCTCTGTTTGCTTTCCTCCTTTTTTCAAAGTCATAATGGCCCGCTCGACAACAAAGCCGTCATTTGAAAGGATGAAAATAAATAAAAAAAAACACCCCTCTCTCCAAAAACTGGTTGCCAGTGGCTTTCCTTAAATGTTTACCTTGCGTACAAAAAGAGAAAGATGCAGGGAGTGAGAGGAGGAACAGAAAAAAAAGTGTCTGCACGATGGGACTGGAGCCAAAGCCTTTAAAGTCCGCCACAGAACCATGACAAAAGCAGCTTAATCTCGGTGTTGTCTTTCGGCCTTTCTTTACACATCCTGCCAAGCTGCCTTAGAGGAAAGGAATCTTTCTACAGCCCCGCTGACATCATGAAAGCCCGGGATGAAATCAGGGTCATCAAAGCCATTCACATGTGGGACATCTGTGCAAGTGTGTTGTGCGTCTCCAACCCTTACCTGTCCATCTTTCCCTTCAGACCACCACTGGAGCCACAACACACATCTGAAACACCTCGATCCACAACACAGATGCTTATCGTGAAACGCTCAGACAATCGAAAAGGAAGTTTGGTAAAGCCATTCAAACAGATAAAACCCTCTTTAGCTCCTTGAAAGAAAGCAGAGGATTGAGACGAGCGTGGAGGAAGTGCCGTCATTGTGTTCGGCAGGTGTTGCGACACATTGTTTGCATTAAATGCGCCCATCCAAGGGCATCCTCGCCGTTAAACTGATTTCCTGTAATTACTCACAGCACTGCAGGTCGTGACCATGCGCGTCGTCCGCACTTGTAAAATTACATTATCATTAATCACAGCTGTGGAGGGAATGAGGAGATGATGATGTGGGGCCGATTCATGACTGTGTTGATGGCTAACGTTGACGTTCGTGTTATTTGAAACAAGGTCGATTTTAAAAGACAGCTCTAAAAATGTCATCTTAAAGAGCACCTATGATGAAAATCTTTCGTAAACTTTTGTAAGCTGTTTGGACAGAACTGTTTGCATGCGTGTCCTCTGTCATACTAGAGTGATATAAACCCAACAAGTGTCTTTTTTAAAACTGAATTTAAAAAGTGAGCA